TGTGTTGCTTCTCTCATGTCCTGTATTACTCCAAGCAGCATTCTGAAGATTTCTTTTAGTGGCAGATCAGCATCCGATTCCTCTATGAGCATCATTAGGTTCACAATTTCCTGTGCTGTTGTGTTTTTTCTTGGTTTCTTCTTGAGGGTGTTGAAGTATGTTGCTGTTTGTGTTATTTTGGCACTGGGCACCATGTTTCTGAAGCCCAAAGGGCCCTGAACTCTTTCTCTGTGTGACTGGAAAGAGTGTTTTCAAGGACTACCTGTGGCCTACTAGGTGGAGGGTTGGACTGCTATGTAGGCAGGTGGGTTGGACTGCTATGTAGGCAGGGTGTCATGACTCAGTGGCCACCAGTGGTAGGGGGCCTTGCAGTTGGGCTGAGGCAGGTGACTGTAGGTTTGCCACTGGCCAGGTTGGGGGCAGAACTGCAGCATGAGCACGGGCCTGGTCTGGACTTTCTGGCCACATTTGCAGCCTTTGAAAGACTCTGTGGAGCCCAGAACTGGTAGAGCCAGGTTTTGGCTTGGGCTGTTAGCTATCAGAACCTCTTTGCTTTGTTAAAGTCCTAGGCGGTGCCCCAGAGATTAAAGTTATTATGTTAATATTGTGCTAAAGAACAGAGTTCTGGGTGCTTACATTCAAAATTTGGGTTTTGTTTTGTTTTTAATTTCCTCCCCTTTTTATAATGGGCTTATGGAGTGCTCTGGTATGTGGTGGGGGGCTGTGCCACACTGTCCCCAGGGAAGGGGACCAGATTAGGGGAGTGTGTTTGGGGCTGACTGGAACGGAATTTTACCCTGGCTGCACTCCTGTGTCACTTCCATCACTATCTTACACAGCCTGCCAGTTGTGCTCTGGGGAACTGCATTCTGCCACAGGCAAATATCCTAGTGGATCATCATTTGCTGCAAATTATTATCTAATTATCTATTGTTACCCAACCACCGGCAGGCGTGAAGCTGGGGAGAGGGGGAAAAGGGATAGCTGATGTAGTCAATCTGTTCCTGGACTACAGGAGCAGAGAGGATAGCATAGAACTCCGGTGTGAGGTCTTGTGGTTAGTTCTCAGAGGTTCTCCACCAGCCTGGGATTATGACTACTTTTAGGCAGCAGCCTGGAGAAATTACTGCTCACTGTAGGTCTCGTATTTTGGGTGCTGGAAGGGATAGCAGATGATGACCTGCTGGACCTTGTAAGGGTTTAGCAGAGCCTGGGACCAACACAGTGAGCTGAAAGCATTTCAATGAGTTCTCGAGTTGCTTCGTGGATGAAAAGCACAGGGGCAGGTCTGAACCAGACCCTAGTACAGGGAATCTATTTTTAGTACCTGGCCTCCCAGTATTGACCTCCTTACCTCTTAATTTTTTGTTCTAGTAACAGGAGCGTGGGGCGGGCGATTCTATCTGGATGCCATCTTGACTCCGACCCAATATCCCAAAAGGAAATTCTTGACAACGTCAATCTTTTCTCCATGTATCATGATGTTACCTATTGGTCCAGTTAGGACGATTTTCATTTTCTTTACAATGAGTTGTGATCTCTACTGTTTGCTGTCCTTGATCATCATGAGCAAGTTCTACAGTCTCCTCACTTTCAGCAAGCAAGATTTTATCATCTGCACATCACAGGCTGTTAAGCTTTCATCCAATCCTGATGCTACATTCTTTTTTTTCATTCTTTTTCATATAATCCATCTTCTCTGATAATTTGCTTAACATGCAGGTTGAACATGCATGGTGAAAGGATACAACCCAGACACACACTTTTCCTGATTTTAAACCATGCAGTTTCCCCTTGTTCTGTTCCCACAGCTGTCTCTTGATCCATGTACAGGTTCCCATGAGCACAAGGAAGTGCTCTGGAATTCCCATTCCTCTCAAGAATAGCCATAGTTTGCCAAGGCCTACACAATTGAATGCATTTGCATAGTCAATGAAACACAAGGAAGCATCTTTCTGGTATTATCTGCTTTCAGCCAAGATCCACCTGACATCAGGATTGATATCCCTTATCTCACATCCTCTTCTGACGCATGCCTGCACCTCTGGCAGCTCCCTGTCAATGTACTGCTCTAAGTTGTTGGATGATTTTCAGCAAAATTTTCCTTGCCTGTGATATCAGTGATATTGTTCTATAATTTGAGCATCCTATTAGGTCACCTTTCTTTGGAATGGTCCAAATATGGATCTCTTCCAGTCAGTTGACCAAGTAGTTGTCTTCCAAATTTACTTGCATAGACTAGTGAGTGATTTCAGTGCTTCATCAACTTGTTGAAGCATTCCAATTGGTATTCATTTCATCAATTTTGGGAGCCTTGGTTTTGGCTAATGCTTTCAATGCAGCTTGGACTTCTTTCTTCAGCATCGTTGGTTCTTGCTCATATGTTACCACCTGAAGTGGTGGGATGTTGACTAGTTCTTTTTTGGTACAATGACTGTATATTCTGTCTATCTTCTTTTGATACTTCCCGAATTGTTCAATATTTTGCTCCTAGAATCTTTCAATCTTGCAACTCAAGGCTGGAATTTTGTTCTTGAGTTCTTTCCATTAAAGGTATGCTGATGAGCATGTTCTTCCTTGTTGGTTTTCTGACTCTAGTTCTTTGCACATTTTGTTATAATATTGCCTTTGTTTTCTCGAGTGGCTCTTCGACATTATCTGTTCAGCTCTTGGACTAAATAATTTCTTACATTTGCTTTAGCTACTCTACGATGAAGAACAAGTGTATATCTTGAACCATCCTATGTCATCTTCCATACGAACAAGGCTTGATCAATATTTACATGTCCTTGCTCTTTGTTTCTGTCATCAATCAAGTTATTCATGGCCAGAGGAGCTTGGAGCATATGGCTGGTCATTAGGTAATGGAGAGATTTCTATTTATCTTCGTCCAGCAGAACTGACATGGTTTCCTCAGCTACCAGCTTCTGGGAAGAGAGTGTTAAATATCTCTTGTGGTCAGGAGTAGATGAGCAAAGCCCCCTTTGCTGTACAACTTTCATATCAGGATATACAGTTTCCTAAAGCTCCCACTACAAAGAAGTTAAGTCCTTGTGGTTATGAAATGATTTATGGACACCTTGTACTTGCCCTTTAATGTTATATACATTTTCCCACACTTTCAGATCACTGAAGCCACCCCTACTCACTACAAATTCTTGATCATAATCGCCTTCGTTTTTTGTCTGTGCACACTCTCTCTCTTCTTTGCATTCTTTGCATTGTCTGGAACTTATTTTTATCACTAGATTATTTGTGACTGGTAAGAATGAGTGAGTGGCTAGAATGTGCCAAACAGTGTGTCAGGTGACCTGGGAAATAATAAAGAAACATAACATGGCAGCTCTCCTCAACAGATTTTCAATCTGATCAAAGATTTAAGACACTTGTATGCACATAGAACAATGAGAGAACATTTTAGGGGCACCTTCTATCAAATACTCACTCACCAGTGAGGTGCGCACACTAAGATGTTGTTTAGGCTGGGTTTGTCTAGAGAAACAAAACCAGTCTCTCTCTCTCTCTCTCTCTCTCTCTCTCTCACACACACACACACACACGAAAGAACTTTACTTAATATCAAGTAAGTTTATATTAAGAAGGCATCCCAGTCTAGTCCAACTTAAGTCCATGAGCCTGATACTAGCCAGAGTCCTCTGAAGACTCCTGTAGCTGCAGGACTACGATGCAGAAAGGGGAACCAGGAAGCATGGTGGTCACAGGTTGGTGGATGCAGAGTCTCATGGACCCAAGGTCAGTGGAAACTTAGCAGGGCGCCAATAGCTCTCAGTGTCGGGCAGCTCTATGTGGGCCGACCCTGGAGGCAGGTGTAGAGTCCCAGCATGCTGGAAGGCAAAGAAGCAGAGAGAAAAGAAAAGTCCCCAGTTTCACTCTTATTAAAAGACCACACCCCCAAGGAGGCATCATCCGGCTGTGTGATCTGATTGACAGGTTAGACCCCACCCCTATCCAAATGCAAGTTGACATAAAATCTTATTGCCATAGACGTAGACTCTTGTTAAGGGCTGGCCTGTCTCTAGTACTCCCTGTTGTAGCCACAGCACATGGTGCAGGAGGAACTAAGCAAGAGTTGGGTATGGCATCTTTCACATATAATGCACATACAAAAATAACACGTGCACACGTTAAACTCTCATAGGAAACTAGCACCTGAGGGGGTTGCACGGTCTGCAGAAAAGAAAACCGTGTTCTGTCTGTTATTTATGTAAACATTGGGTCACTAATTGAATGTCAAATGAATCAATCATTTATACATGCTCTCCTTTGGGGCCTCACTTCCCATTCATCCTGTAGATGTCCCCAGGGAGAGTTTCTGCCCTGGAAAGGGGCACTTAGCTAGGATCCATCTGAGAAACTTGGGACTCTCTCAACAGCTCTGGTTATGACCTAATGGTCGGCTAACAGACACAGTACATACCTTTCAGCAAGTATTCTAGTGCCTTTCGAAAATAGCTTCTTACATAAGTGTTGCTGTCAGCTGCCCTCAAATCGGCCCTGAATTCACAGGGACCCTGTGCACAATGGATGACAGCCATTGTGACCCATAGGGTTTCCAATAGCTGATTTTCCACCTCTAGATTGCCAGACCTTTCATCCTAAGCTGTCTTAGTCCGGAAGTTCCAACATTCCAGCCTCCACTGAGCTGGGCTTGAGCTACATTTGGTGCAGGAACCAAACCCTGGTTTCCTGCATGGAAGGCCTGAATTCTATCACTGAACTCCAACTGCCCCTCTTACAAAAGCAGATCTTTGTTCAACTCCACCGAGTCAACTACGAGGAAGAGTGGCACAGGAAGGAAGAGAGCAGCCCTCAGTTTCTCTAAGACCCTGGGCCCCAAATGCCTAGACTCCAACTTATCTCAGCTCACCACGGTTTTCTAAAATCTCACTTTCCAAAGTCCTCAGTTCCCCTACTCCCATCAAATGCTCATTGTTGTCTGTCTTCTAGCTCCTTGTGCGTTGGGGAAGGTAAGCACCATCCTGGCGCTCGCCCAGTGTGTTGCTGCCCAGCCCATCTGCCATCAGACACTCCCCACTGGTTGCCTCTTTCCAAAGTGTCTGCCTGATTGAGTCCCAGTCACTCCATTTTGATTGAACCCCACAGATGCAGAGCAAGGCCAAGTATGGACCTATGTGGATAAACTATCTAGGGCCTCAGCTCCATGTGAACTTGGCCAGTGCCCCACTTGTGGAGCAAGTGATGCGGCAAGAAGGCAAATACCCAATACGGAATGACATGGCCCTGTGGAAGGAGCACCGGGACCAGAAGGGCCTGTCCTATGGACCCTTCACTTCGTGAGTTGGGGCCCAGAGGGCCAAGGAGTATGGGTAGTGGGCAGCCAGTTGGGTAATGGGCAGGGCATCTTCGGGTTCCGATGCTCCATCTAGAAACCAGTGGTGGGATTGGGCTGAAGCCCAGAGTCTAAATGGTGTGACCTTGGACAAATGAACATTTCCCCCTTTTATGTTTTCATGTTTCTCATCTCGAAAATGGGAAGTTCGGATTAAAGTATTTCCGAGGCATAGATACGCCTCTTTCCACATAATCCAGCACCAATATCTTACGTTATGCTTGGAAATAGATCAACTTAAATCATAATGAAGCACAGATGTTTATAGTTGGGGAAAAAAACACCAACATGTCGTATTAGTTGGGAAAGCTCAATTTAATTTTTTTTAAATGTGCTGAATTTAAAAATTGTTGTTGGATAGAGATTTCAGACTCCCTCCGCAGAGATTATGATGCAGATTTCAGCCTTGACGTCTGCCTAGAAAATTTTCATGATGTAACTGATAATCACCTGTGTGTTCATGGCATGCCAGACATCAGGCTAAGCTCTTGACGTTTATTCCTTCATTCATGCTCACACCAAACCCACGGAATAATATCCTTATCTGCATTTCACCGATGAAATGCATTTCACTCATCCCTCAGTTCATTCTGTGCTGGTGATTTGCTGGGTGTTGCTGGGATGCAGGAAGCTGTGCCACTGGTATTTCAACATTGGAAGACAGCTACTTGGATGACTAACTGGGGGAGATCTGTTTTGCTTTGTTTTTTTCTTTTTAAATTCATTTTGTTGGGGGCTCTTACAGCTTTGATCACAATCCATCCCTCCATTGTGTCAAGCACATTTGTACATATGTTGCCATCATCCTTTACAAAACATTTACTTTCTGCTTGAGCCCTTGGTATCAGCTCCTCATTTTTTCCCCTCCCTCCCTTACCCTCCCTCCCCCAGAACCCTTGAGGGAGATCCATTTTTGTGCCCATTCCCCACCCCCACCCCCAAAAGGTGATCCAACAGAATGCAGAAAGTATTGAACAATATATATCATTAATATCATACACAAGTAGCATTTTGCTGAAGATCCTTTTAAAATGGTTGCAGGAGTCCATTGACAAGAAATTGCCAGATTCAGAAGGGGACATGAGATGAGGGATACCATTGCTGATGTCCGATGGAGCTTAACTGAAAAAGAAGATACTGGAAAGATGCTTGCTTGTATTTTGTTGACATGCAGAGGCATTTGACTGTGTAGGTCTTGGCCAATGGTGGATAGCATTGAGAAAACTCAATTGCGCTCATGAAGAACCTATACCTGAAACAAGAAACAGTCTTTTCAACAGAACAAAGGAATACTGCATGGCTTAACATTACAAGAAGTGTGTGTGTGTGTGTGTGTGTGTGTGTGATGTACTTTTTCCGCATCCTTATTCAATCTCTACCCTGAGCAACTCATCTGAGAAACTGGATTCCCTGAAGAAGACCAGGGCCTCCAGATTGGAGGAAGACCGTGTAACAACCGGCAATCTGCACAAGACACAATCTTGCTTGCTGAATGCAAAGAGGCCCTGAAGGACTTGTTGATGAAGTTCAAAGACTACAGCCTTCCATATGGATGGCTCTTCAACAGGAAGGAAACAAAAGGCTTCACACTGGGCAACAAACAACCCCCTGAGGGAGGGAGCCCCTGAAGGTTAAGCTATAATGCGGGAAGCATGCTCCCACTTGTGGGAGAGTGTCTGCCTAGCCAGGTGGTCTACTAGACGACTAGAACACGAGGGTCGGGGGGCCTAGCCTGGTGGGTCTTCCTCTACCCTCACCCGCTGAGCCAAGGTGAGTCTGAAGACCCAGAACTTGAGCACCTCAAGATCCCTTATCTGTTCTTCCCCTATTCTTCATCCTCCCCTGGTGTTGTTAGGGGCCACCGAGTCGGTTCCGACCCATAGTGACCCTAGGCACAACAGGACGAAGCACTGCTTGGTTCTGGGCCCTCCTCCCAGTTGTCCTGAGACTACCTAGAGGGACTGAGTCCACTGCTGCTCCCTCTCAGTGCACATATGGAAGATTCCAGAGTCGTATCATTATTCTAAAATCATCATCAACACCCCATAAGTATTCCCCAGGTGCCAGGCACTGATCTGAGCATGATAATCTTCTGAGCAACCCTGCAAGACAGCCTGCTGTTTATCCCCATGTCACAGGGACAAAAACCGAGTCCCAGGGGAATTTCAGTCATTTGTCCAAGGTCACCCAGCTACGAATCTCCAGGCCTCCAGACCTGCTTAGTGGGATTCTCTCTCTGCTTAGTGGGATTCTGGAGGTTGCTGATTCCATCATTCTAAATGCTCTTTTCCTAACCTCTATAGGGATCTCAAGGCGGGGAGATACCATTTAAGCCAAATGCCATCTGATACTTGTGTGGCTCCTCCTCTTCCCCACAGGCATGGGCACCAGTGGTACCAGCTGCGCCAGGCTCTGAACCAGAGGATGCTGAAGCCCGCCGATGCTGCCCTCTATACGGATGCTCTGAACCAGGTGATAGACGATCTTCTGGTCCAGATGGAACAGAAGCTGGCAGAGAGCGAATCGGGGGACCACATTCCTGATGTAGCCCATGTCTTCTACCACTTTGCTTTGGAAGGTGCCTGTGTGGGGAAGTGGGGCTGGGGGTGGGAATGGGGGCAGGGGCAGGTGGTTGGCCCTTCTTCTCAAGGCCCCCTGGATGGTGTGCGCCCTGGCACTTCCCCCTGTGGTGACCTCTGCGTCCCACCCTGGCCCCTGCCACCGCCCAGCTATTTGTTACATCCTATTTGAAAAACGCGTCGGCTGCCTGGAGCCAACCATCCCCGAGGACACCACAGCCTTCGTCAACTCCGTGGGACTCATGTTCCAGAACTCTCTCTATGCCACCTTCCTCCCTAAGTGGACACGCTCCCTGCTGCCCTTCTGGGATCGATACATTGATGGCTGGAACACCATCTTCTCCTTTGGTGAGGAACCTGAGTAGTGCCCGACAAAGAAGCTGAGGGTGGGCCCCAGCAGCCCCCGCCCCCACCTCCCTCCCACCCCCAAACAGGACTTTCCCCCTCATACAATGTACCAGCTGCCAGAAAGGAGGCCATGATGATTGATTGTCCCTGCAGGGAAGAAGCTGATTGATCAGAAACTCAAGGAGGTGGAGGCTCAACTGCAGGCAGGGAAGCCAGATGAGATCCAGGTATCTGGCTACCTGCACTTCCTGCTGACCAGCGGACAGCTCAGTCCTCGAGAGGCCCTGGGCAGCCTGCCCGAGCTGCTCATGGCCGGAGTGGACACGGTGCGTGAGGGTGGCCAGCGAGAAGACCAGGGGTTCCTGCGCCCATCCTGAACTAACCTTCCATTATCCCCCGCCTGACCCGGACCTTCATCCCTGCAGGGACCTGCGTCTCTTTTTGTCACCTGGACAGAGAGCCAGAAGAGAAGCAGAGGGGTCCCTTCCACCCCCTTCTAGGTGGTCCTCAGGGGCAGCCCGTCACCTCCCACAGCCTCCTCGCTCTCTCTGACAGCCAGGAAGTTGCATCTCCCACCTAATCCACCTCTCTCTCTCGCTGTAACTTAGGACCACTCCTCCTCATTCGATTCCGGGTAAAGTGGAGCCTGGCCTTGAGCATCTTCTTTCCCTGACCTGTTTTGTCCTTGGGTCGCTTCGGGTTTCTCTTCATTCCAGTCTCCATCCTCAGGTCCCCATTCTCCTGTGGAGTCACTCATGTGTAGCGGGAAGGTCCCTGTGGACGCCCCCCCACCCTCCATCTGTTTCTGCCATACTTGGGGCATATTTGTTCGCCTGCATTTTGTATGCACCCACTCACAACCCTTCCACAACCCACCTGGCCTCTGACCTAGACACGCCCTCTCACTCTCACTCTCACTCTGTCTCCAGACATCCAACACACTGACGTGGGCCCTCTACCACCTGTCCAAGCACCCAGAAATCCAAGAGGCTTTATACAAGGAGGTGGTGGACGTGGTGCCAGCCGGGCAGGTGCCCCGATACAAAGACTTGGCCTGCTTGCCCTTGCTCAAAGCTGTGATTAAGGAGACCCTGCGGTAAGATGCGGTTCCAAGGGCACAGGGTCTGGATGGGGGAGAAGGCAGAGCGGAGCAGGGGTAGATTGAACAGTAAGCATGGCTTTCGCTGGCTTACGTTAGGCAATGAACACCTGGTCTGATGTTTGCTTGCTAATCTGTGGTGAGTGGTCTCCCTGGGTTTCACATCTGTGCTGTCGGGGTGGGGCAGGGGAAATTGTGCACTCGAGACTAGGGGGAGATACAATTGGACCCATGTGTACCTGACTTGGGAAGAGCCCCGGTGGCATAATGGCCACGCATTGAGCTGCTAACTGCAAGGCCAGGTCAAAAGTTCGAAACTACCAGCCGCTCCAACGGAGAAAGACTGGGCTTTCTACTCCCATAAGGAGTTACACTCTCAGAAACTCACAGGGGCAGTTCAACCCTGTCCTGTAGGATCACTGAGTCAGCATCAGCTCGATGGCAGTGAGTTGTTTGGGGTTTGGCATCTGATGTCTTGCGTAGTCTCAGGTGAGGAGTAATGGCTGTATGGGCGAAGTTGGGGACGGAAGTGAGATGGGGAGGGGCCTGAGGGTCAGAGAGGTGGCAGGGACTTGCCTCTCCTTGGCTCCAGAGCCAGGCTGTGCCCTCTCTTTCCCCTGCAGCCTTTATCCTGTGGTTCACACCAACTCCAGGGTCATCGAGGACAAGGAAGTAGAAGTTGGTGGCTTCCTCTTCCCAAAGAACGTGAGTGAGACTAGAGAGCTGGGGCCCCCGGGGGCACCTCACACCCCTGCCTGGATGAGTTGCCCACTCTTCCTCTGCAGACCCAGTTTGTGCTCTGTCACTACGTGGTGTCCCGGGACCCCAGCGTCTTCCCCGAGCCTGATAGCTTCCAGCCCCACCGCTGGCTGAGGAAGAGCCAGGCAGATGTCCCGGGGGTCCAGCACCCGTTTGGTTCTGTGCCCTTCGGGTATGGGGTTCGGGCTTGCTTGGGCCGCAGGATTGCTGAACTGGAGATGCACCTGCTGCTGACTAGAGTGAGTGGGGCGGGGGTGCCTGGAGGGGTGGGAAGGAAAGGAGGGTGGAGCCCAGGGCAGGCACGAGGGGGAGCATGGGGGTGGGGTGGGGTTGGCAGATAGAGGAGATCACAGACTAACTGGCCCTTGTGCTTCCTACTTCCCAGCTGATCCAGAAGTATGAGGTAGTGCTGGCTCCTGAGACCGGGGAGTTGAAGACTGTCGCCCGCATTGTCCTGGTTCCCCACAGGAAGGTGGGCCTGCGCTTCCTGGAGCGGCAGTGCAGAGCTGGGGCCCTGACTTCCTGGGGCTGCTTCAGGGGCTCTGTACCGGCTCAGCTAGGGCAAGGGGAGGGTGTGCCAGGTCTGAGGTTGAAGGACCTCAGTGCACCCCGAACAGCACCCTAAACCTTTGTCTCTGTTGTCTGCCTTCAACACTACTCAGTCACCTCCCACAGGTGAGAGGCAGATAGCAGGTGTCCCGGGACCCCAGCATCTTCCCCGAGCCTGATAGCTGATAGATCCTTGGGGACATCTGCAATAAACTTGCACTGACCAGGGAGGTCGTTTGTCATTCTTTTTGGCTGCGCAGCATGTGAAGCCCTGTCTGTGTTGGGGGAACTCCCCCTCGACATGTTGGGGGCAGCAGAGACATCTCCCTCTATGCAAATGGAGACTGACACGTACTTTCCCAGACCTCCGGGCGCTGGATGAGGCCAGAGCAGGGGCTGCGGGGCGGGGGGTGCTCCCAGGAACTGAGTCAGTCACGAGACATCATAGCTACCATCCTCTTTTAAACAAATGTTGAACTGCCATTGAGTTGATGCTGACGCACAGCAGCACTATGGGACAGAGTAGAACTGCCCCTGTGGGTTTCTGAGACTGTCACTCTTCATGGGAACAGAAAGCCCCATCTTGCTTGCTCAGAGCTGCTAGTGGATTTGAACCACCAACCATTCTGGTTAGCAACCCCACGTGGAACCTGCTGTGACACCAGAGCTCCTTGTTTAGCACCTTCCAAACCAAACTGACTGCCACCATGTCCATTCTCAACCCACAGTGTCCCTATAGGACAGGGTAGAAATGCCCCCAGGGGTTTCGGAGACTGTAGCTCTTTGTGGAAGTAGGGAGCCTCACCTGTGTCCCATGGAGTGGCTGGTGATTTTGAACTGCTGACCTTGAGGTTTAGCAACACAACACATAACCACTACGCCACCAGCGCTCCTTCCTCTAGCACTTAGGAACAATGTCCTGATAGGAAGCTGGAACGAGAGGGTGGCAAGGGGAGGCTATCCCCCAAACCAACCACTCTGCCCGTCGATTCCGACCCACAGTGGCTCTGTAGGACAGAGTACAACTCCCCCACAGGATGTCCAAGGCTGACACTGGAAGGAACTGGGAGGGATTTCTGATTGTAAGGGCATGGCTCTGGGCCCTCCCTGTACAGTGAATTCACCCATGGGAGACCCTTCTCAGGGCAAGGATACGGGTGGCTCAGAGGACACCAGAATCTCTGTCACAGAGCCAACCCGATTGGCCGTCTGCTCTCTTCCAAGAGGCCCCACCCACCCACCCACCAGAATGCTGTTCCTTCAGATCCGCAGGGCTGAGCTGCTTGGTCTGGGGAACAGTCTGTGTGCTGGAGCTGGGGCTGGATTTTGTAGCAGCTGCGCGGGAGTGTCAGCATGGGCTTCAGCCTGCTTCATGACTGTACAGGCTAATCTTGCATGAAAATCTGCTACGATCTGGTTTATCCAGGCAATGGGTGATGATTCGGTCATAGGAAAGGAATGCAACCATGTAGATGTCCCTTGAAAATGTGACGCTAGGTGAAAGAAGCCAGACACAAAAGAACCACGTATTGAATGATCCTGTTTCTGTGAAACACTTAGAAGAGACAAAGCTATAGAGACAGAAAATAGATCAATGGTGGTCAGGGCAGGCGGGGAAGGAAGAAAGGAGAGGGACTGCTAGTGGGGACAAGGCTTTTTTTGACTGATGGAAAATGTTCTAGAATTAGACAGTCATCATGGTTGGGTTTTGTGGGTATACTAAACCAATCCCAACCCAAACCACCAGCATGGAGTCCATTTCGACTCATAGCGACCCTCTAGGACAGAGTCGAATGGATCCTGTGGGTTTCCACGACTGTAAATCTTTATGGAAGTAGAAAGTCTCATCTTTCTTCCACGGAGCAGCTCGTGGCTTCGAACTGCTGGCCTTGCACTGAGCATCCCAACACATAACCCACTCTGCCACCGGACTGCTAAACACTACTGAATTACCTACTTGAAAAGGTCGGTGTTATGGCATGTGAATTATAGCTCGATGGGAAAGAAACTATAACGAGCAGGTTGATAATCACTGAAGTAGCTTCCCAAGGAGGCCAACCCCTCCCAGAATTTGGTTGAAGATTCTTAAGGATTGCCAGCACCCCAGAGGCACTGTGGGGTGGTCTGAAGCAGCGCTTCCCGTAGGGCAGCTGTGATGCTGTGGTGTGTAGGTGAGTCCAGGTCCCCTCTTAGCAACCTGGTGGAACAGACTAGACCTGCCCTGTAGTGTTTCATGGGCTGGCAGCTTTGCAGGAGCTGATCACCATGTCTTTTTGCCTGTGGCGTGACTGGTGGGTTTGAACGGAAGACCTTCGGACTAGCAGCCACCGCACCAGGACTTCTTTGTACATCTCTAGGGTCTGAGACGGAGCATGCAGAGGGCAGAGGGTGGGGTAGTAATGCCCTCTGTTGCAGGATTAGTGAGAGAGCCGCTTCTCCCTGCTGGCATTTGCTGGCGGCATGAGGAGTGGGCACGAACAGTGGACTTGACTTCTACAGCTGTGGTTTGAGTTGCCACAGCAGGCTCCCTCTGGGTTTCCCGGTAGCGTCAGAAAACCAGGTCTGAGAGCCAAAAGCGATCTTTATTCACAGGAGCATGGAACCCGACCCACAGGAGCAAACTGCCTGAGGGTGGCCCAGCTCTGGGGAGGGAGAGTCGTTGATTTCCCACCCCCATGTAGAAACACCCAAACCAGGCACCAGCAGGGCCAGAGAGGGGTTTTCTTGATGCATGAAGTCCTTTTTGTGTGGTTAAAGGATTTGTTTTTCTTTTCCATTAGGAATATGATATACTTACAGGAACACGTGTCACAGGTATAGATGAAATTCTTTGGCTTTGCTGGACAAGACTTACTGAATGCAAATGAAAAGCTCGCAGACTCCTTCACCTCCTTCTAAGAGGGCTGTGAGCACACTCCTCTTGCAGCGGTCTCCCGGGAGGATGGGAGACTCTGGCACTGCCTTGAGGGCTGACACAGAGCCCGCTGTCGCTGGTGGTGGGACCCTCTTCCAGGCCCCCACGTCTCAGGGACTCTGAGCCTCCCCCAAGAGGAATAGGGAAGGGATGTCCCAGGGTCATCCCCTGATGGCCCACCCAGACCTGCCCCTACCACGAGAGAGTATTTCTGTATCTCGGACAGTTGCCAAAAGGTGGCATGATTCTGCACAGCAGAAAGCCCCGGGCCTACAGAGAATCCACACGGTCTTCTTAACATCTTGCCCCAAATTGCATTCTTCACCAGAATGCCTCTTCTTTAGGCCAGGGTCTTTCTGCTGGGCAGAACCAATGCTGCCTTTTGGCCATTGTCCAGGGTACTTCTGCTGGCGGAGGATCTTGAAAGGACCACAGACTGCCAAAAGAACAAACAGATCTGTCCTGGGAGAGGCACCGCCAGGGTGCTCCTTAGAAGCCAGTTGGCAAAACTTCCTGTCATAGACTTTGGACAGGAGAGACAGGTCCCTGGGGAAGGACAGCACGCTCGGTAAAGCAGAGGGGCAGCGGAGAGGGGGAGGACCCTCAACAAGATGGACGGATACCCTGACTGCCACAAGGAGCTCAGATGTCAGAACCATTGTGAGGATGGTGCAGCACCGGGCGGTGTTTTGTTATTAAGTTGGAACGGACCCCATGGCATCCAACCCCACCACTACCAACCAAGAGGCTGTGGGTACTGCGAAGCAGGCTTGCGCCTCGCTCCTCCCTACCCCAGAGAATTCGACTTTGTGGGCCAAGTGAGGATCCGTATTTGGGGGTAAGATGTCAAAAAGACAGCTTGTCTTCTGAAATGGCGAGACATGACTCTTGTGAGCACAAAGGAACAGGTCTGTCTCTCCAGTGTTCCCCGCTTGCCTCCACACGCGTGTCTACAGATGTATTGGCTTCCAGTGCATCTATCGTGGGCTGAGCTGTGCTTCCTAAGAGTGTGTGCTGGCAGCTGAATCCCTTTGCCTGTGGGTGTGGGTGTGAAGCCGGCTAGGAACAGGGCCTTCTTTGTTATGTGAGCGAGGAGGGTCAGAATCGCTCCTGAGCCGCGGGAAAGGACTGTGCAGAAGAGCCCACACAGCAGGGGGAAGGTAGATGTCCCGTGATGACGGTGCAGAAACTGAAAAGTGCGGAGGAGGAAAGCAACTACCAAGTCAACAGAGAGAAAGCCTTGCCCTAGGGCTGGTGCTGGAATTCAGCAGCCTGCTCTCCTACACTGTGAGAAAATCGATTTCTGTTCCTTAAGGCCACCCGCTTGTGGTATTTCCGTGACAGCAGGACTTGGGAACAAGCACACTTGCTAAAGGGAGTTTATGGGCCGGTCCTTGTTCAGGATTTGACGTTGACGGTGGGCACCCGCATACCACCCTGAGCGCTGTCCCCGCACACGTGGCTGTTCTGATGTCTCCTGTGGTGGACCACGTGTGGGCGAAGGGGCGTGGTCACACTGAGGGCCACGATGGCGAGGCTGCGCCCCACGTACTTCGGACGTGTGGTCAGGAGAGACCAGTCCCTGCAGGACAGCGTCGGCGTGCTTGCTGAAAAATCAGGGCAGTTAAAAAGAGGAAGGTCGTCGACGAGATGGATCGGCGCGGTGGCTGCCACCGTGGGCTCAATTATAACAACTGGGAAGATGGCGCAGGGCCCGGCGGGTTTCATGCTGCAGGACCCGGGGTCGCTGTCAGTCGGGACCGACTCGCTGGCACCTAACAACGGCGACCCTCACCACCACCCTGGGCAGTGCTTTCCGCAGAGCCTAAGCCATCGGGAGAAAAATAGACCCAAGAACTTAGCGAGTGAGTGGACTTTGAAACCGAAGCATCTTTATTTCTCAGCGTGTTCTCCTGCTCACGTGACTACTACTCAATCTCTTCTTTTTAAAGGGGGGAAAAAGAAAAGACAGGTGTCCAGGCCCCACTCCCCGAAACTCCTGAAACCAGGAACTCAGTGACTGTGAGCGAGAAGCCAGAACCCGCTGTCTACCAAGCTGTCTGACGGACTGGACGCGAGCCGTGGTGGGGAAGGACTGTGAGGGGCATCAGAAGAGAGATGGGCAACAAAGGAGGCTATGGGGGTCTGGTCAGGATGTCTCAGACCCACAGTGGAGCCTGGGGGCAGGGGGCAGGGGGCGGTGGGGAGTAGGCAAGCCTGGAAGACCGGATCCAGCCCCAACCAGGCATCAGTTGCTGTCGCCATGGCAATGCTTTGCCCTTCCTCTAGCCCATCCTCATGTGGTGGTGACGCCCCCAACCATAAAATTATTGTTGTTGCTACTTCATCACTGTCATTTTGCTAGTTAAGAATCGGGCGACCCCTGTGAAAGGGTCATTCGAACCCCCAAAGGGTCATGACCCACAGGTTGAGCAGGTTTGGGGGCTGGAAGGACAGTGTCCCAAGCAGAGGGCTGGGCTGTGGTGGAGAAAGAGGGCTTGGGGCAGGTGGAGGGGGGGCAAGGGAGGAAAGACCTACTGGGTTCTCAGAATGCGGACCCAGAAGAGTTGAGACCTGTCTGCTTTCAGGAAGGGGCAAAAGGACAAGAGGGAGGTGAGTGCACTTCTCAGGCCTGCTCATCCCACCTCCAGTCCAGACCAGTGCTTCTGATTTCTCCCTAGAGCAATCCCAGGGCAGCCCAGCCTGAAAGGACCAACCTGGCCCACTTTCCCAAGGCCCAGCAGCCACCCCATCCCACCCTCCTATTCAAGCCCAAGAACCCCCCGAAACCACCGGAGTGTCCACTCCACTGCCCTCTGAGGCACTGTGATGGGGCCGTATCTTAAAGACTTGCCTCCCCTCCCCAAACTGGACAACTGGACCTGCAGTGCCTGTTGTTACAGGGAGGGGTGATGTAGCAGACATGGATCCTTGGCTTTTACATCGAAAGCCTAACCTTCAAAATGGGTGACCAGCACTCCGGGCACAGGCCATGAGAGAATGAATGTTGGATGAGCTCCAGGACAAACCCTGTCCTGGTGCCCCTGCCTGTGACAGCAGCACTGGGCTTCTCTGAGGTTCCGGGGCTGCTTTTCCAGGGGTAGGTCACCAAGCCTGTCTTTAGAGCTCTGGGCGGGCCTGAACCTCCAACCTTTCCACTGGCATCTCGATGTGTGAACTGTTTGCACTATCCAGAGAACACTGGGTAAAGATTCCATAGGCTAGTGGGGCTCCTGAGAAGGGCTGAAGATGACAGATACCCCAGAGAGGTTGGAAGATCAGGGGGGCTGAGAAGCTCTGGGCCCATGTTTCCTTGCTGGAAAAACAGCAAGACCCCAAACTAGACCAGGCCCTTGGCTGTTCTTTCAGCATCTAGGCCTGGGACAGCCTCACAGAGCTCCCTGAGGTCCGGAGGTGGGCAAGCTCAGAAATTGGGGTGCCTCACAAGCAGACGTGACCACACACACCAATGACCAGCCAAGTGACAACGAGGCGAGAGTGAGGATGTCTTAACAGAGTCTGATTTGAACGGATGGATGACAATGACTGAGGAACAAAGGCTTATACTACCTAAAGATTCCCCTCAAAAACGTAACCCAAAGCAAGGGGGGCGGGGACCCCAAATCGACTGAGTTCATTTCTACCACCTGCTGAAATAGTTTGATAGCAAAATTACATTCCGTTACAGAAAAACAAAGGTCATCTCCTATATCTTGCCGATGAGAGTTTGTAGACTGAGTTGCACCTACTATATGCCAGTTGTCAAGTCTATTCTGACCCACGGCACCCCAGCGAGGGTGTGAGTGGGACGACTCACCATAGCGTCTCCAATAGTTTGAAAAGTAAACCATCACATCTTGCTTCCGAGGTGCCTCTGGGTAGACTCAAACCTTCAACTTTTCATTTAGGAGCCAAGAGTGTTAACCAATTGCACTACCAGTGGCACCACCTATAATATGCCACTGCTGCTAGGTGCCCTTAAGTCAGCCCCAACTCAGGGAACAAACCCCTGCCTATTCCTGTTACATATGTAACTAAGATGAATATTTTCTTTGTGGTTTTGTGGTATGTAATCGAAAACCTAATTGAGGTGGAAGAACACTATCCATGGAAGAGAACGCTGCTGCCACCTGCAGTGTGTGCCTGTTATAGCTTTTCCTTCTTGCCTTTGAATTCAGAAAGCACAGGGATCTTGCCTCAAACTCAGGTCTAGTGACCACCCTAATTTCTAAGTGAAAGCTACGTTGTCCAAGTCAAGGGACTGCTGCGTTTTATTTATTTGTTTATGCTTGGGGGATTGTTCATTCTCAGAGATCTGTATAAAAGGTCACTACTGGGGACGCAGAATCCTGTTCAAGCGAAAGCCTTTCCTGTGTCAGATTGGAAGGAGACCCTCCCCCACCCCCACCCCCCTCAAGCAGGCAGCACTAAGAATAACTGGTTTAGAAGCTCCGTGGAGACCCCGGAGGGGCTGGGAGAGGACAGTGCTGGGAGAGTAGGAGTGGAGTGGTGAGCAACACAAAGAGCTGAGTCCATGGGGAAAGGGCACCTGGGGCTTCCAGGAGCTGGGGACACTAGTGGTCAGCCGGAAATCAAGGGATCCAGAGCCTTTGACTAAACCTGTGGGCTGGGCCCAGTCAGCCACAACCCAAGCGGATGGAAAGGGGTTGGGGATGGGCATGGAGCAAAGATGGCCCTGAGGCAATCCCAGTGCTCCTGCTTCAAGGACCTCCAGGCTTGACTCAGCTGTTTTCTTTAGTGTTATCATCCCATGATGCACTGGGGATTCCCAAGGGCTTCTGGGAGCAAAAACAGGGCATGGACAATTAGGGAGGGCTGGAGAAGACTGCGAGGAAGAGAGAAGGGAAGAAGGTGACCCTTCAGAGAGGGAACCTTGGTCTTGCCTTCCACTGCCAAGTAGGCAGAATTTATGCTCTACCCTTCTAGAATACATAGCAAATAGGCCCTCTGGAAAACGTCTGAGCTCAAGTAGAATTTATGGATGAGCATTTCTTCGGTGGAATACCTCCCCACCTCCCCAGGGTACTGATGGTTTAAGCCTTAGTTCTTACCGAGAATGGAAATTCCATTCAACAAAGGTTTATTATTTGCTTTCTTCCAGCGGAATTCCAAGCAGATGAGAATTGAATGCGAGGGAGCAGGCAAATCTTCCCAGCTGATCTGCCACCACACTGCTATCCTCACCTTGACCCCAGCCTCTGCCCACCCTTAGTAGGAGGGCCTTTGTAGCCTTAGTTCAAAACAGGACCCCAGTGAGTCCTTACACTTATGGCCTCCAGGTGGCTGCTCGGCTATCGGCTGGGTCACCATCATCCTCAAAGCGCCCCAATCTGAGATCTGGGAGCCCAACAAGACCAAGAGCTTGTTGGTCTCATTGCCGAGGCCAATGGCCCAGGTCAGAGCCTACCTGAACCAGAGCTGAACAGTCAAATGGGGTTGGGGGAAAGCAGCTGAAGGCCAAGTCCCCCAACTGCTTCCACTGACTTCCAGGTGTGGAAGGTGGCCTGTAGTGAGGACTCCGATAGTCTTAGGCACCAAGGGCATCAATGCCAGCGGGGCTGAGCACCAGTGCCTGAAGGATGTCAGAGAGAGAGATCACGCCCAGGAGATGCTGGGTCTCATCCACTAGCACCAGCCGGTGTACCTGTGGATCCACAGGGGGCCAGTTAGGGGCAGAGCTGCAGAGCCATGGCAGTTAAGGAGATTGGCACCAAGATTCAGGGGGAGACTTGTCACACTGGAGTGCTATGTTTTTTAAAAACAAAAACAACTGAGAAATCATTCTCTATGAGACCAAATGGACAACAGCGACTTCCAGACGCAGACAAGGTTGGCAGGTAGGGCGTTTCAGGGAAAGGGAGGCCAACGAGAAGGCAGGAGTAATAAGAACGATGATGTGACATGAGGGGAAGACTGTAGGCAATGTCATGGAACATGGTGCCTAGAAATCGGCTGGGAGTGGATTTTCCTGTGTGTGTTTTCACCAAAAATATTTAAACAAAAGAATGAGGGGTGACAATGTGATGTAGGCGTAAGTGAGGGGGCAAGAGCGTGTGCCCTGAGAACCAATGGAGGCGGCTGTGACCCCTCTGGAGATGATCAGCTGGTATCGCCTTTAACGCGGAGGGCCTCACGGACAGGCCCAGCTACTGGATACCAAGAGATTGCGCATGAAATGGGAGGGCAGGGCACGTCCCTGAGGTACAGGGGTGACCAGCGTCACTTCCTAGCAGGGCTGAGCCGTGTGTGCTGGGGGCCTACATGGAGGGGCGCTGGGCGTGGGGTACCTGCTCCCGGGCAATCCTGTCGATGATTTCCCCCAGGGTCTCATGAGGCTGGCAGCAAAGGACTCCTTCCAGACACAGCGTCCTCATCCTCAGGGCCTCGCCCACACTCATGTCCAGGTGGTTGTAGGTTTTCTGGGCTGCTAGGTGCTACAGAGCAAGAAAGAGAAGACCTTCTTGGCGACCCCCTAGTCCCTCGACACAGATCTCACCCCGACACTGGGTCTCCCATCCTACAGATAGCCCAAAGTACCCTCACACGTGCCCCCACAATGCCCCTCCACACCCCACAGACACTTACGATCACATCAAAGCGGGAGTAGAGGCCCACGACCAGACCTGCAGGGGAGAGGGAAGAGGCTCACATCCACACCCTGGGGCAGCTTTCTGCACTTGGCACCTCCCAGGTGTCTGGCTTTTTATCAGAGGCATCAGCTACCCCTCCCTTGTCCAGCACCATCTCTGGCATCCCGCAGGAAGGTCCCTGACAGTGTGGACCTGACCTGATGCAATAGGAGTCCTTTGTATCTCCCGGGAAATAGCCTGGCCCTGACTGTGTGGCCTGAATTGGGCCCTTATTGTATCTGCTCAAGGAACAGGTCAAGGACCTGGAGCTGGGACACTCTCTAGGCCAACTGACCCACTTTTTCAGCTCCTCGATGGCATGAACATGAAAGGAGAGGGCGAGTATGCTTCCAGATTCAAAGGCAGTTAAAGAGACACAGCATACTGACCCTAGAAGACAGACTGAACTGCCTGCCCCATGGGGTTTCCTGGGCCGTGATATCCACGGCAGCTGACTGCCAGGCCTTTTCTCTTGTGCCATCTTGGCGGACCACTGACCCTTGGGTTAGCAGCTCTGCCCTTAACCATCTGCCGGAACGCTGGGCCTTGTAAGTTCACGCCCCCCCACAAAGCCTCGCTCCACCAGCCCTCCCTCGCTCCGCCTCCAGCCTGGTTCAGGACTCTCTGGGCAGCGGTACCAGTTTCGTTGACCACGGGCAGCGCAGACACACGCCGGTCCACAAAGATGTCCAGCGCGGTCAGCACGGGTGCCGTTTCCTGCACCACAGCCAAGTCTCGGAATGTGCCGATGCCCAGCTCTTGGATGGTGCGGGCGAGGAAGGAGGGCTGGGGCAGCAGGGCGCCCTGGGTGGAGTTGAAAGGAAGGGGCTATCGGGCTCAAGCGCCCTGCTTTCAGCTTCCCTGGGCGCCCCCACATGCCCGGGGTCCCCTCCCCTGCTCACAAAGATGTGCAGGAACTTCAGCAGCCGCTTGTGGGTGAGGATGTGAAGCACAGCGCCGGAAGTCGGGTCCAGGACGGGTAGGCGGTGAATCCGGTTCTTGGTGAGGGCGTAGACGGCCTCGAACAGGCTGAGGGAGGTGGGGCAGCGTGGGGAGAGATACCTTGACTACTTCCCAAAGAAGAGGCCCTGATGTCCCGGAGGAGAGAGGCTGGGAAGGGGGCCGTGCAGGGCTAGAGGGGTGGGGGTGGGGGTGGGGGTCAGCAGGGACTACCTGTCATTGGGAGAGATGGAGACCAGGGGCTTGAAGCAGCCTTGCAGGTAAATCTCTGCAGGGGAAAAGCAGCATCAGGTCCACCTCCCCTCCCCAATCCATTTTCCCCATCTCCACCCTCAGTCACCGGTCCACGACCCCCAGGCACCCACCCTCCCAGCTCCCTCCAGGAGACTACAAGGCCCTTTTACTGGGTCCTTGGTCCCACCTCACCCCAGGCCCCTTAAGCCCCTTTCCTGCTCACCCCTCCAGGTCTCGATCTTATGTTCTTCAATCTCATAGATCTGGACCTGGAGACATGGATAGACCTCCGGAAAGTCAGACATGAGCCTGCAGAGCAGGGCAGGGCAGGGCAGGGCCCAGGCACACAGACTCCCCTCCCTGCCCCTGCCTGGCCCTCTGAGTGCCCCAGCACTCCCAGCCCATCCTCACCAGAGGGGACTTGTAGTATCGGTGCAGCACCAAGATGAAGTCCGTGATGGTCAGCATGCCTGCGGGAGGGCAGGGGAGGGGAGGGAAGAGAGGAAGCTCAGCATGGTACCTTTTGGAGAGAGGCAAGCGATGTGTCAGGATGTGTCAGGACCGGCCCCCAGGACAAGGCACTGCTCTGCCCGGGGCTGTCCTCACAATGGTTGTTCTACTTCAGCCCGTTATTGCAGCCACAATGTCAGTCCATCTCAGTGAGGGTCTTCCTCTTTTTCGAGGACCTTCTACTTGACCAAACAGGATGCCCTTTCCCAGGGTCTGGCCCCTCCTCCTGATAACGTGTCCAGAGTACATGAGCCAGGCCTTGCCAGATATATCACTCCTAAGGAGCACTCTGGGTGTACTTCTTCCAGGTCCGATAGGTTGCTTCCGGCAGTCCGTGGCATAGCCAATGTTTCCATCAACACCATCACTCAAGTGCATTACTCCCTCTGAGGTCTTCTTTACTTCCTGTCCAACTTTTGCATGTGCGTGAAGTGATCCAAAGTACCAAGGCTTGGGTCAAGGCCATCGTGGTCTGCTCAAGTGACATTCTTGTCTTCCACCCTTTAACCGGGTCTCGTGCATCTTCTAGACATGGGACCCTGTGTCTCCCAGCTAGCCACCCCAAGACCTGGGATAGGTTTTCCCCTTATGGGCCCCTGCTTAGCTCAACCTGAGGCTCTGCCCAAGCCTGACAACGCCCCTCCTCTCTGTTCCCCACACGCCCCACCTCCACGGCCCCCACTCACCTACGAAGCTCTGCTTCCTGCTGTCCCACAGAGGTGCTGCCCGCACTCCATTGGCCACTAAGGCGAAGAAGGCCTTCTTGATCTGAGGAGAAGTGGGGGGTAGGGGGAGGGGGCTGAGGGGTAACTCTTGAGATGGTCCTTCCTCTCCTCACTCACCGGCCTGTCAGTGGGGATCCACCCATCTCCCTGCTGTCCCCATCCGGGACCTTTCCATGAGACCCTCTCTCGGGGCCTTCGAAATGTCAGACCATGCTAGAATGTGTATGGACTTTATAATGTTTACTAGTCTAAGTCTTAGAGGTACAATTATTTATACAATCTTTACTCTACCCTGCCCCCCTCCCCAATAAACTTTAAACGGACTCACTTTGAGCATCATCCTAAGTGATAATAAACAACATGCTGGTTGTATTTTTCTAATACACTTGAAAACAAGTGCAAAGCGGCTGAGACAAGGGTTTGTGTGTGCACCACGAGAACCCCGCCCCGTATGGTAGGCAGTCCATATACGATGCTTTGGGGAAACACCGTTCTGCAGTCCGAGTGGCCAGCCTAGAATCACAGACCTTTAGGAGCTTGGACCAGTGGGAAAGCAAGGACCTGAGCTCCTCCTATTGTTCTGCTCCCACAAGCCTCCCACTCCTTGTCCTGAGCGACCCTGCCGTGTCTTGCCCTCGCCTCTCTGTCTGTAAAGCGTTGCTGTTTCCAGTGGGTTGTCCCAGCAGTGCTCTGAAACAGGGACCTCACGATTAAACTAAGGCCGGGCGTCGCTGGGAGCAGTGAGTAAAGACCAGGGCGTGCTAACCAGGGACCCTCTCTCCTTCCACTGGGCTCCACGAGGCTCACAAGAAGCTCTGGGAGGGGCTGTGCCCAGGGCCATGGCGGTGGTGAGGGCAGGGCTGCGAGGAGGAGACTGGCTTGGCGGGCAAAGCTGTTGCTCACCTCCAGCATGGTGTCGAAGATGACCAGCTTGGAGCTGGTGGCCATGGCATCGTAGCAGGTATGCTCCTGCATGAAGTGCATGTACACCTGGGCCCCAGGTTTCTGAAGCTCATCATCCCAGCCCAGCGTAGGCAGCAGGGCCTTTGGGGATGGGCACGGGGCTGCCCTCTCATCCACCAGGTCTTCGAGCTCCCACTCCCCGGCTGCTGTGACAGGGAGCTCTAAGCTCAGCTCCAGTTCGTCTGTGCTGGAGCCCACGGCTGAGATGGCATAGTCAGGCTGCAGGAAATCCCAGCCTGCTGGTGGGGTGCCCGCCCAGGCCAGGGGAGCAGCCTGGGCCAAGGGTGTGGTCTTGAGGAATGTGGCCTCTAGCCCAGAGGACGAAGCAGCTGGCCTGGGCGGGGAACCTGTGGCGAGGGGAGGGAGGTCGGTCAGGAAGTTCATCTTCCAGAGTACTTGGGACGCCCAGCTGCTAGGGGCCCCATTTACAGGTGAGAAAGCTGAGGTTCAGAGAGTCGCATAGCAAGAGATGGGCTCGGGGCTATCTTTCTGATAGGCCACACTGAGCCCCTGCAAGATGAAGGCTGGGTCGTGTGGAGTGGACAGACCCATGATCTGAAGTTCCCATGGCCACCTCCCACCTCCCCAGAACTGGTCTTGGCCTCACCTTCCCCCCGGCCTGGTGGCTCTCCTTCCTCCGCAGCCTCCTGCCTTGTCCATCTCGAGGTCTTGGCCCCCTGTTTCCCACGGGTTCGGTCTGATCTGGTGGCCATGGTCGGTGAGGGCCACGAGGGACTCTCGCCTGGCTCTAGGAAACTCATGTCTGGAAGGGAGAATGGGGCCAATTTGGTCCATGGGTGGGGGGTGTCGCAAAACAAATGCATAATATTTAACATTTACAACTAGCTTCTCATGGGCTTTTCTCTGCCATGTTTCCCATCCAACCCTCAGAGCAGTCCCATCAGGGAGGCATGGCTGTTTACCTAGGGAGCGACCTGAAGTGCAGAGACGTTCAGCAATTTGCTACAAATCACACAGCTAGTAAGCGGTGAGGTCAGGATTGGGGGCCATGTCTTAAAACTACAGGTTTCTGGAAAAAGGAGTGAGGCAGTGAGGGAGAGAGAGGCAATGAAAGCCAGCTGAGGGACAGGAGACGGGGCCCAGAGAGGTGAGGGGAGGTGGGAGGTTAGACCCACGGGGGAGGGGCAGACCCACCAACCTTGATGCTCAAGCTTCCCAGGGTTGTTTCAGGATGAGGTCTGTGGGGAGAGTGTCTGATGGCGGGGAAATGCTCCAAGTTCTCCAGACACAACTCCTTCCCTCCCCAAGACACACACACACACACACACACACACTCATCCATATCAATACATACTTAGCCATACACATACATCCAGACACACACCCAGACACATACACGCATATAAATACACACATAAGCACACACACAGACATTCATATCAATACATAGATAGCCCCCCCACACACACACACTCTCTTACATACACAGATCCCACCACTCCCGGACACAAGCAGAACCACACAAGCTCACCTACCTATGTACAAATATGCAAACACAGACCCACATACATAGAGACAGCCCAAGCGTAATACACATACACACCTCTCTCTCTCTCTCTCTCTCTCTCTCTCTCTCTCTCTCTTGCCGGTGTGCTTTCATTCTGGGCCCCGGATGTCCCAGCTCTCACCCCCTACCCCCACCCCAGCCCTGGGACCCCTGTACCCTGCACAGTGCGTGCTCTAGCTCAGCTCCATGCAGCCAGCGAGGACCCAGAAGAACGAATGCGTGCAAACCTGTGGTGAGCAGCACTATTCTGGGCCCAGCACCTGGCACCCTGCCTGTCCGGATCTGTTTCCCTCTGATTGGGTGTCAGGCTGCTGGGAGGGAGGGATCCATCCGCCTAGCTGCCGGGAGCCCAGTGGCCTGGGAGTTGGGAGTGGGTCCGTGGAGGAGGGGGATCTTGATGCCTGCTTTTTAGCTACCTCCTGGGTCTTTGAGGACAGGCCAGGTGAGGCTCTATGTAAGAGAAGCCCTTGGAGAATTGTGGGGACCTGCAGGGGGCTCAGACTCCCAGGTTTCCATTCGAAGGGCCTGTCATCTTTGTCAGGCACAAGGAGATGGGTTGGGCCTGACTTTCATCCTCCACACATTCCCTTGAGTGTTCAGAAGAGGGGCAAGGGGGTTGTGAGTGGTCCCTGGAGGAGCCCAGCTCTGTCTTCTCATGTCAGTCCCGGGCACCCTGGAGATCGCCCCAAAGGTGAGGGGTAGCCTTGAGGACTCAGGGCCCACCTTTCTCCACAAGTGGAGACACCTGTTCCTACCTGTGGTTGGGCGCAATGTCCGGATGTGCTGAAGCCTCCCACCCCCTCCCTCTGTATGTGTTGGCCCTGCCGTCCTGGAGCCAGTGGGATCCTAGCCCAGCTCTGGTGGCCGCCCGCCTCCCCCCCCCCTTCCCCCCCGCATTCCTGGGGCTTGAGTCAATATCCAAATCTGGAATGCTGACCAGCTGCTCCAGGTCCCCTCTCCCTGCCCCTCCCATCCCCATCTCCTTCTAGCCTCTTCCACCCCAGGCCCTGGCCCTGCAGTGTATGGATGCAACAGAAAGGATTCCTGGGTTTCCTGCTGAATGTATTGACCACATTTCCCATCATCCCTCACGGCACCCAGACTACCTTCGGGATGTGGATGAAAGTAGAGCCGGGGAGAGTTTGTCCTTCCCATATGTCTAGCATAAAGCAGGGGTGAGTGCAACTTCCTTCCCACTGCCTGGATCCCTGCAGCCTGGCCCCAGCTGGTCCTGGATGATGGGATTTTCAAGTTACTGCTCAGGGGGAACCTCAGATGGTGGAAGGACTCAGAGGAGATATGCAAGGCCGTGGGCCTGAAAAGCCTCGACCCCTCTGCTCTGAGCTGCCTTGGTAGCCAAGCCAGGCACAGAACAGACTGTACACACGCTACCTTCCTCGCCACCCCGCACGGCCAGCATCTCCCTGATGGTCCCACACTGATCTCCTTAGCGTGTGTGTCCAGTGTGCAGCCTCAGCACGGGCTGGGCTGTCATTTACACAGCGAGTTCCTGTGTGTCTGGCTTTTAGTTCCAATTCAGCTGCCGGCCCCTTGCCGAGGAGCCGTGCTCACTGGATGTCCTGGAAAACCTGTAGACTGGGGCTCAGAGGGCTCTGGTTAAAGGCATGCTCTGCCGTCCACCTGGGGAGAAGGCTGCTGCCCCAGCCTGGGATGAAGGGAGACAACAGACGGTGTAAGATACGAAATAAGAATAACAATAGGTTATGGATCAAGGATTCAGGAGGGTGGGAGGGGAGAAAAGAGGAGCTGATATCAAGGGCTCAGGTAGACAATGTTTTGGAAATGGTGATGGCAACATATGTACAAATATGCTTGATAAAGTGGATGTCCGGAATGTTAGAAGTCCTGTAAGAGCCCAATAAAACAATTTTAAAAAAAAACCATCATGGAACAGGCTGGCAGTGGTCCCTCCCCCTATCTATTTAGCTACTTGTTTCTTTTCTTCCTTGAGTATTACAGTCACCTGGCCGTCACAAAGATTCTGGCCTTCCTCACTGCTAATTATGGCCTGATGATTACATTCAGACTGACGAGAGGTGAGTAGAAGTGAAGTCCCAGGTCTGACCTTAACAGAGCCTTGAGACCCCCTTGCCTTGGCCTCTAGTGCTGGCTGGAATGCTTCTGGGGTGACAGGAGCCCAGCAGCCCCTTTGTCTCCAAGAGGAAGGATGTTTGTGGAGAGTCGCTGTGTCAGGCTGGGGTGTCTAGAGAGACAAACCCAGTGACACTCAGATTTGTATAAAAAAGAGTGTGTGAGTCCAGGTACTTTAGAGAAGCAAATCCACAGAAACTCATGTATAAGAGAGAGTTGTTTTTTTTGTTGGCAGACCATTTTATTTATTTATTTTAAAATCATTTTATTAGGGACTCATACAACTCTTATCACAATTCATACACACATCAATTGTGTAAAGCGCATTTGTACATTCATTGCCCTCATCATTCTCAAAACATTGTCTCTTCACTTAAGCCCCCGGCATTAGGTCCTCATTTTCCCTTCCCTCCCCGCTTCCCCCTCCCTCATGAGCCCTTGATAGTTTATAAATTGTTATTTTGTCATACCTTGCCCTGTTCGACGTCTCCCTTCACCCACTTTTCTGTTGTCCGTCCCCCAGGGAGGAGGTCACATATAGTTCCTTGTAATCGGTTCCCTCTTTCCTACCCACTCTCCCTCTACCCTCCCTGTTTCACCACTCACACCACTGGTCCTGTAGGGCTCATCTGTCCTGGATTCCCTGTGTTCCCAGTTGCTATCTGTACCAGTGTACATCCTCTGGTCTAGCCAGACCTGCAAGGTCGAATTCGAGTCATGGTAGTGGGAGCGGGGAGGAAACATTTAGGAACTAGAGGAAAGTTGTATTTTTCATCATTATTACATCACACCCTGACTGGCTCATCTCCTCCCTGAGGCCCCTAAGAGAGAGTTTTATATAAAGGTTAAGTGCGCATCAAGAAAACATCCCAAGCCAGTGTTGCCCAAGCCCACAAGTCCAACATTAACCCATATGTCCGACACCAATCCACAAAGTCCTCCTCCATCTCACAAAGCAGACGCAATGATGCCGACTGCAGGAGGAAAGCCGAGTCGGTGAATGTGTAAGCATCTCAGTGCTGGCAGGGGTCTCCACATGGCTGCTCCAGCGCCCAGGGCTGCATCAGGGTAGGTCCATGTGGCTTCTCCTCAGGGATGTCTTGCAAGCTGAAGCAGGGAACTGGCTAAGGCAGCTGCACCCTGGTCCGACCATCACAAAGCAAGAGACCCAAGAACTAGAAAGGGAAGGCTTACCGAGCCATTTATCCCTCTGCCCTTCAATTAGTCCCACATGTGTTTATAGGCCAGGTTGGCACAATAAACGAACTAACTCAAGAGCTTTCTATCAAAAAGTAATCTCACATCAAGAAGGCATCAATGTCAGTAAAGCACCGATGGAATTACAAATCTGGCTAGACCAGAGGATGTACACTGGTACAGATAGGAACTGTAAACACAGGGAATCCAGGGCAGATGATCCCTTCAGAACCAGTGGTGAGAGTGGTGATACTGGGAGGGTGGAAGGAGGGTGGCGTGGAAAGAGGGAACCAATTACAAGGATCTACATGTGACCTCCTCCCTGGGGGACAGACAACAGAAAAGTGGGTGAAGGGAGAAGTCAGACAGTGCAAGATGTGACAAAATGATAATGTATAAATTATCAAGGGTTTATGAGGAAGGGAGGAGCAGGGAGGGAGGGGGAAAAATGAGGAGCTGATGCCAGGGGCTTAAGTGGAGAGCAAATCTATTGAGAATGATGAGGGCAATGAATGTACAAAGGTGCTTTACACAATTGATGTGTGTATGGATTGTGATAAGAGTTGTATGAGCCCCTAATAAAAAGATTTAAAAAAAGCACCAATGAAACACAAAGATTCCTCTGGTTCCTTGAAGCTTCCTCACCCCCCACTATCATGACCCCAGTCCTGCCTTTCACCGTGGGCTAGACTGGAGCATGGGCACAGGTGCAAACAAGAGCTCACGACACTCGGAATCCAGGAACAGGAATGGGAGTAGCGATACCAGACGTGTAGGGGGAAGGTGGGGAGAGGAGGGGAGGAACAGGGAAGCGATTGCAGTGATTGACATATAACCACCATCCCCCCTTTATGGAGGCAAATGACAGAAATCATGGGGGAAGGGAGACAGTGGTCGGTGTAAGATATGAAAATAATAATTCATTATTTATCAAGGAGTCACGAGGGTGCGGGGGGAGTGAGGGAAAAAAGAGGAGCTGATACCAAGGGCTCACTAGAAAATAAATGTCTAGAAAATAATGGTGCAACATATACACAAATATGCTTGATACAATCAATGTATGGGTTGTTATAAGAGCTGTAAGAGCCCCCAATAAAATGATCTTTTAATGAAAAACAAAGAAGGCATCAATAGACAATGATAAGGTTGTTTTGTAAAAAAATTTAAATATATATCTTTGAAAAAATAAATTCTCTTTTTTTTGGGGGGGGGCACCCCCTCATAAATACTCCTTGGTGATTGGTTTGGCCTCTAGTCATGGCATCATATTTTCCTGAAACTCAGCCTCTTGGCTCACTTGCAGAACTGGGTGTTATAAGGACCCTGGGCCCTGACCCGAGGGTGCATTTGGCTGCTGCCGTTCGATGAATGGCTATTATGTGGCCTTCCTCACTGTGGTCTTGTAAGTTCCACCAAATGATTGGGTAGGACTATGCAATGAGGTCCTGCGGCCCACCATGGGAATTGGACAGCTTGCTAATAGTGCATAGAAAGTTTCTCACTGCTATCGAGTCCATACCAACTCAGATAGAGACTATATTATTCTTATCTTATCTAGAGACCCTGCAGGGCAGGGTAGAACTGCCCCTGTGAGTCTTCAAAAGCGAAGATGCTACTTAGAGACTAAGGTGCGCCTGCCCAAGCCATGGTATTTTCTACTGTCTCATATGCGTGTGAAAGTCAGACATTGAATAAGGAAGACCAAAGAAGAACCGATGCATTTGAGCTGTGGTGCTGAAGAAGTACCATGGACTGCTAAAAGGACAAACCAGTCTGTCTTGGAAGAAGTAAGGCCAGAGTGCTCCTCAGAGGCAAGGATGGCAAGACTTTGCTTAAATGCTTCTGACCTATTGTCAGGAGAGACCAGTCCCTGGAGAAGGACATCATGC